AGTTGGGTCGGGGAAATTTGTACTTTGCATGTATTCTCGTGCGTGTGATGGTTCTCTATGATTTAATAAATAAACGACACCAACCTGATTGCGGGATTAAAAAAAAAAAAAAAATAATATGAACTTGCTAATAACTTGATTTTTAAATTTGTTAAAAAATTAAAATAAACATATAAATATTTTATTATACCATATATATATAATTTATTTTTTATTAAGAAATAATTTTAAATAACTAAATATTTTAACGATAAAAAAAATAAATATAAATTTTTATATAATAAAAATATTTAAAGTATATAGAGTATTGATTTAGTTAATAATAAAATAAAGTAAAATCAATTATATAAATGATCAATTTGCGATAAACGTACCTTATTTCTTTGAGAAGAATCCTATCTTTTTTTTTAATTTATCGAATTTTGATAATCATTATTTATGATTCATCATCTACTGTGACACAACCATGTTATATAATTAACTAAATTATTCCAGTTCTACTCAAATCCGTTTTTCTTCTTTGTAGACGACAATGCGGTCTAACTTATATTATTTCATTTGTGCATTTACCTTCTTGCTTTTTTTTGGCAAATTTTTGTATAATGGTTATAGTAGCGTTAATCCAATAATATTTGATGGCAACAAGCCTAAGATTCCAGTTGAATTATTTGTAATGAGTCGTTGTCCTGACGCTGTTATGTGTGAATCCGTGCTCAGTGACGTTTGTATGGTCTTAACTTTTTTTAGATCAATGATGTTTTTTGATTTTGGTTCCATCGAGTATCACAGTGCGTTCATCTCGGTATATTTTTCTTTCTATAGTAAAGCAAGTGAATGAAATTTCCAATTTTACCACAAATTACATTGCAACGCCTGACGATTCCGCACCGTATGGAGCATATTGTAAACATGCAAATATCGAGTGTGTCGGTAATGAATCGAAAATTTTTATCGCACATTACCCATTTTATTGTGATAATAACAACTTTATTCATGCGACGCAAATATAAGGAAATATCCAAGAACTTTGTTTCCGCCACGTTTATCCGGATCAATTAAATTTTTTCTCATTCCTCCGTTGCCTCAACCGTGACGTAGTCCGGATTGGTACGAAAGATTGGGCGAAGAAATGTTCTCAAGAAGTAGGGATGGATTATGAACCTGTAGATCAATGTGCCCACTCTGAATTAGGCAAAAAATTATTCATAGATAGTGTTCATGTGACTGAAGAACGCGGGGTCACCAGAAGTTGTACAATCTATATTAATGGAAAGTTGAGATGCATAAGGGATGGGAATTGGCGCAGTTGTGCAGATGGCCATACAGTGGATGATTTCGTACGCACTATCGTGGATGCCTATAATGATCAAGAAGTGAGTAAATTATGATTGTACCGCGTGTCGAAGATAACGATTTATCTAAAATTATTCAAATGTATGTACTGTATGTACTTAAAGATTTTTTAAAAATCTCGTTGTTCATATCATATCGTTTATATTTAGTATAGTAAATAAATTATTTAAATTGTTATATTTTTAAATTTTGATTTCATCCATAATTTTATTACTATACTGTATGTAAAGTTATTTTGAATGTCATGTAAAACTATCAGATCAATGTACATTGTATGTATTGTTTGTTTAGTTTTAATAAACAAAAGAGACAAAAAATAAAAAATTTTTTCATTTCATCTATTGGATATAACTATCTGTAAATTTTTATGATCTATCTGTATTTGAGAAATTTTACTATATGTGATTTATTACGTATTATAAATTAAGTTGTAGTAAATAATAGGGAATTAGAATTATTATTTTTTTATAAAATTTCTATGAATTGAAATTAAGAAAAATTTAAAATACTATATTATTAACAAAATTTCTATTACAAATATTACAAATATTTAAAGTGCATATGTTTGTTCTACAAACTATAAACTTAATTATTAATCTCTTTTGACTATATATACTTGATATGCTAATTTAACTTACAATTTTAAATACATAGATACTTATTAAGAATTGCTATACCTACCATAAAATATTTGAATGCGCTATATATCAAAAAATACGTAAAATAAAACATAGATTTATTCAAAGGGATATCTTATATCACCTTATATACCTTCTATTCTACAATT